AACTCCAGATGGCCGTCAATGGATCGTAACGCTCCATGCTGCTTAGACACGAGGCGCCATCATAGCCACCACAAACATACAGTAGTCCATCGTAGGCGCAAATGCCTAGACAGGAGCGCTTCGTACCCATCGGTGTTATATTAGTCCACTTATTAATCAACGGATTATAGAATTCGGCAGTGCTTAGATCGCTCACGCCATCATAACCACCGACAACATAGAGCTGCTTGTGCAGCGCAGTCACACCGGAGCGTGAACGTCGCCACAGCATTGGTGCGATGGGTGTCCAAGCGTTAGTGCGCGGATTATAGACCTCGCACTCGTTGTGAATGGCGAAGAGGCTGCCGCCACCCACAGCGAACACATACGATTTCATACCCTCCGGCCGACGCTCTTGTGTGCGTTGGCTGCTCATCAAGCTGCGCTGTTCTGGCAGTAAATGGTATTTCATGGCTTCCAACAAAAGTTCCTTGCACTGGCCGTCCTCTCTTATGAGTGTCTCTGTTTCGACGCAGGTCATAAGGAAATCTCGTCCCACCAGCGGCAAGCGTACGTGGCTCATCAATTCGGCAATGTGACACTGACGTTCAGCTAGATCGTGTTTGACCCAATTTAGTACAGCTAGAAAAACTTTCTCTTCGGAGCAAATATTCAGTTGATTATTTGATATCAGATCTCTGACCTGTGGCGAAGTGAATGATGAGTGAAAATGTGTAAATTGGAAAAGGGTTTTAGATATTAAGAATTAAATTGTTTTTGCAAGTGTATATATCTGTAAATTGGAATGATTATTACCTCGTCAAAAGGTAAAAGCAAAAACTCCTCGGTTCCGACGACTTGCTGGAAGTTTTGTAATGCATACTTATGCGAGCGTGTATGTAGCTCCTTGCAAGAATGGGCATCTGAAAACGTAAAGATATTAGAGGACATTGAGGAAAGATAAATGCTACAATTCGAGGTATATGTATGTAGTACAAAGTCATGATTTTCGAAGTTAACATGGAGTTCTAACCTGATCCAAGCCGGCTGAGGCGGGAAAAATCGAGCAAATCTTCAGACTTTGCAATAGCGACCTACCAACCCACAACTGCCAGGTAGGGGAAAAATGAAGAGCCGACAGAAGGCAGATGTTGCTGATTCTCAAAGCTGAATCGCTTGCCCCACTGGCACAGAAACAACGGCTAGCCAGATATGGGTTTGTTAACGCAACCATTCGGATCTACTGCAGAGACGAGCCAGCTTTGGAACTTAATGATGAGAGCGACAAAGCTGGCTTGCACAGTGGTAGTGAAGATGGTTGCCCAGCAGCCAATGCTAAACTGACTCCGACAGTCTAACAGCTTAAGCGAATATATTCACATGAAGCTGATCTAGAAAAAAAATCACCTGTAGTCCGCCTGGACTCCAGTGGACATGGCGTTACCCCGCATCCAATAGCCATGGCTAAACGGCAATAAATTCTGCGGGCTGGAGAGGAAAGGCTTCAAGGTGACGCAGCTAGAAACAACAACTTCTTGTTTCCACAGCTTAGCAAAAGCGATTTGGAATCAGCAAGCATTGAGCTGGGAAAAACCAGCTTCTGGGTAACCTCCGCCTACATGGCCCAAGAAGATGGCGGTGCGTCTGCGATGAGGTTCGTGCCCTGGTGAAGGAGGCCTCTAAGAACACAAAAAAGTGCTTGTCTCCTGTAAGGCGAACGCCCACAACAGTTTGTGGGGGAGTACAGACAATAATAATAGAAAATAAACATAGTATTATGAATTTAGGCTCAGAGCCGAGCTTCATAGTAAATAACAGAGAATGAGTTCAAGAAGAGAGTGGAAACACCAAGACCATGGATGCAAGCAAGACAATAGGGTCAAGCATATTAAAGGTAGATGAGGGCAACTGTATAACAACTAGGCCATTGTGGCCGCGAGTTGATAAGAAAATTACAGAAGAACTGCTCAGCCACTCAAGAGAGGATACTTAGAAGGTCATGGCATGTGTAATCCGTCATTGGCTATATGGTAGGCACTCTTTGCGGTTAGGCATATTCTCGCATAACTATTGCTGAAGTTGCAGAGATGAGGTAGAGACAGTCGAACTCTCCTTCTGCAGTTGTCTTAAGCTAAGAGCAGCTCAGGCTTTTTGGTAAACACTTCTTTAGCTACCTTACAGAACTATTTGATGTAGGAATAAAACCAATCCTACGCTTCATAAATGCGGCTTTTGCGCAGCCTGAAAAAACGATATCTTGTTATCTGTTAGGCGGAACCTGAAAGATAAAAATAACGGTTCTAAGTAACTACCACAACCAACCTACTTGAATATTCTATACATCCTATGAACAACTTTTCATATTTCGTTCTTTTAATGGTCTCCCTACTATGCGCCTTGTGCGATATTTGCGGTATGCGCCCTATTGTTTTCACACAGCTTTAGGTCGCCTGCTATGTGCCTATAGTTTTTTATGAGTACGTTTTTCATGGCAGAAATACACTGGCAAGTTAAACTTATGTTCAAACTTTCCAAACATCGAAACTACAACCATTGTCTCTCGTTTTTGCTACGTCAAAGGGAAAGGAACCCACAAAAGTTATTAACACATGTAATTATGCCATAGAAGTTGCGCAAGCAAATGCATAATTCTAACACGAAATTTTTTCTTCGACCCATAAAAAGTTTTAGTTCCAAAACGAAAACTTATGTAAAGTCTGCGTACCATTTTCATTCTGCCACAGTGTTAGCGCAGCATACACACATTTATACTCACCAGCAAAGCTACGTATACCCAAGCAATTGGATGGATGCAGTTGTCGCAGTAAAAATTTGCAACATGCCTCGCGTACTGAATGAATTTGCAACAAACTGGAGGCGGGCAACAACACCTGCACATTGTCCTCGGTTATGGTGATCTCACCGGTGTACGTGTAATCGATGAGTTGACGTAGCGCCGTAACATCGACATCGTGCAAACGTACGGCACCCTGATTGCGCTCCAGCATGTCGTCTGGAAAAGAAAATACAAAAGTAGGTTTAATAAGAAAAAATATTTAAATAGCCTTGAGTACGAGTACTTTGTATTCAGTAGAGGTAAGCAGTAAATAAATATTTCATAAGCTACATACATATTGCAACTCACCATTGAACATGGCATAGAAATAGGGTGACACCGAAGCAAGCACCACTTTGTGCGCCTGTATAGTTTCGCCACCCACTTCCAATGAGACATCGCAGAGCTAGAAAGACGAGAAAATTGTTTGTGAAAAAAGCAGTTACTTATAAGACGCTTGCTCTTGTCTAAAGGGAAAAAATTAAGTTAAGGATTAGAGTGATAACACAGAACTAAATTGTACGGTTTAGCAGAAGGTTTCCCCTGACACAGCTTTATTGATTTTTTTTAATTATGGACAATTACAAATCGTCAAAATAACGTGTCACTTAAATAGGAACCACCAGAAAAGCAGTTATTTTAATAACTTATTTAAGTCTTTTTTAACTCAATTTTTTTCTTTTTAATTAGTTTGCTAATAATTTTTTTATCTTATTGTTTTGAAAAGAAAAAATATTTTTAATTCAGTTAATTTTTAGAAGCTTATTTTTTTCTTTTTTACATTTTATTTATTTTAGTTTTTTATTTCATTGTAATTTAGGGTTTAGATTTATTGTTTTAAGATGATAAATACTTTTTAGTTGCATATAATTTGTAGAGAGTTGTTTTTTTTTTGTTTTCTTTATTATTTTTTTTTTAACTATTTTTTAAATTTTTCGTTAATTTAATTTTTTTAATGTTTAGTTTTTAATGTTTTAAAACGAAAAAAAATTAATATCATTAATTTTTAGAAAATGTATTGCTAAAGACAACAAGAGAAGACATCCTCATTAGCAGTTCTTTCAATTAGGCTTTCAAAATGCAGAAGCGAGCTTTCAATAGTTGCGTTCGCGTAGTTGTTAATTGTTCATGTTTAACCAAAATTTACAAGTTTTTGCGTTCGCGTACGCAAAAAGCTTGCAAAGTAGGGGAATTGAGAGAGTGACATTTCATTTTGAGGGGAAGCTGCTGGTTCCTGCTGGAAAAATTTTTGCCAACAGGAAAACAGCTGATCAAAAACAGCTGGTTGGCATTTACGCAAATCACAAAATTGAAATTGATGGTTTGGAAGTTAAAAATTACAAAATTCGACTAATTAAACTTGTAAGAAATAAGTAGTTATTTGTTTAATCAATAAATTGTGTCAGTATAACACTTTGTGATGGCTTTTCGTACGTTTTAAATTTTACACTTTTGAATGTAAACAAAAATTATATCAGCTGTTCATCTAACTTGCAAGTTTCTGCAAATTTTCTGTTCCATTTAAAATCTGCAGTAAAAACCAACCGACTGCCAAATTACGGCGAAATGTCATCTGTTCTCTCACAAAAGAAAAATATCCCAAATAGTACGCGAACAGAAAAATTGCAGAAACTTGCAAGTTAGACGAACATGATATAATTTTTGTTTACATTCAAAAGTGTAAAATTTAAAACGTACGAAAAGTCATCACAAAGAGTTACACAGGCACAGAAAAAAGGAGAAATTTAGTATTTTGCCGGATCGAGGTCAATTTAAAAAAAAAAATTTTATGAAAACACAAGTTTTTTTTGGTGTTTCTTTCCGATATATTTCGATTACGCTTCGGTAACCGTCCTCAGGGCAAATTAATTTACACGTCCGCACTGTTTGACGTGGAGTTTGGTACCAGTACCATGTGTTTTCATAAAAAAAATTTTTTAAAATTGACCTCGAGCCGGCAAAATACTAAATTATAAGTAGAAAGGTCGCTAAAACCATCAGTATAAAAAGGAGAAATGTTTCGTTAAAATTAATTCTGCTTTGTTTTAAATGAACCTAAAATAATGTAATGTAAAATATTATCTACTTTTCCTTGCAGACCATCGATTAGCCATTGCTGTGGTACTCTTACAATAAACGCAAACTTTTTCCTCATTCCCATATGCCAGTCTGACCTAACCTGCCTTAATCGCGTGCACAATTTAACACTGCTAAGTCATTGATTGATTACACATTTTTAAAGCTTCTTCTACTAAAATGTTAAAAGCTGCCATTTTTTCTATCCTTTGGCACTTCTTTAAGTCATTTGCGCACTTACGTAAGTCGCTCTCAAATGTTATTGACACTGACTGGCTTGTCGCATTCGAAAATCCCCTATGGCAGGGTAGACATATAAAGTTATAAAAAATAGCAGTACGTATAGACATACATATGTATGTATGCACATATGCATGAATTTGAACGCATATGTAAGAATACAGTAAAGCAAGGGCGACAAATGCTCTATTACTCTGGAGGATTCACATGTCGCCGCATTTGTATTGACATTCAATACGAGTTGTCTTTATGTGAATGCAGGCGCTCATGCATATATATGCATGTCTATACTTACATACATATATATGTATATACCATAATGAATTTCTAAAAAAGTTTTTAATATAATTCTCTACTAACTTGTGTGGTGGCATGCAACGTGTGATAGATGACACTTTACGCTTTGTAACTCCATCTAAGTGCTCATTTGCTTTTCGCAATGACCTCCTCTTGCTATTTGCATATCGCATATTGTTCATGAATATACATATAGGTACTATGTATATATATGTATGTTTGAATAATCGACTTTAGAAGTTGACAGAGTTTGCGGTTGGTTCCATTAAAATTTGCTAGCAAATTACATCACTCGCAAATGAGCGACGAATATTCATGTTTGTTATATAACGGTATTCATATGTGCGTGCATGTGTTAGTGTTAAAGTAGAAATGGTTCTGAATTTACCTTATATTTAAAACAAAGTTATCCTTTCTCCCTCATTAAAAATATACTTCGTTATTTCTTTAAGTTGAATTGTTTTTTAATATGAGTCTAATGCGGTCGATAATAGGCTTGACTGAAAAGGTTAATTATGCATTTTTAAGTAATACCAAATGTATCAAAATTCTCTAAAATACGACTGCGAGTCCCAGTGTTACGAATATAAATGTTACACTTTGCCCCTCAAAAGTAAATAAAAAACAATGTTGCATACTCCTATACACATTTCAACAAGTTTAAATTTGAATTCCGTCTAGCGTGGCAAACTAATTTGAGCCTTTTCATCGCCATACATGCGCCTCTAAGTACATAGAATATCTTTGGGAGCCTTAAAATCGCCCAAGGGATTTTCATGTACAAATTACATGGCTGAAAAGTGGAATTGTTTAGCTTGTTAGGTAAACCCGTTTTAAATACAGCTATATGTGGATGTGTAATTGTAAGAGAGCGCATTTCTGAAATTGTAAATCTGTACAGGGTTTATTGATTGTACATATAGTTTTTTTTTTAGTTAGACAAAATAATTTTGTTACATACTTTTTTCAAGCTTATCAGAGATTTTATCGTTCCAGTCGACATTTATGATGTGAAAGTGTTTTGGTTGGGAAAATTGCACTCTTGCTTTATCATTGCCATGCCTGTTTTGCAGAGATAAGCTGACAGCATTTATAGCATCAATACTTCATACTTAAAAACTTTAACTCATGCAAATCACTTTCGCGTAATCAATTATCTTAAAATTTGATCGTACATGTCGTATGAGTAACATTATTTCTTGCTCATATTTCATACAAAAAAAAACCATTGAATCGTTTGATTTGAGGTGTTTAGAATAACGCCTTCTTTGGCTAGCTCATCAGCTCTTTCGCTGCTCTCATCACCTCTGAGTCGTTCGACTCAATATAGGTGAATAGTTTTGGCCATGGCTAGCCTTCCTACGCTCTCCAATGGTTTTCGAGTAGCTACATGCATATCAAGTACATATCTACATATTTTAAAGTGAGGTCTTTATGGTTGCCTGACTGTAAATATATACGTTCATCCGCTCTCTGCGTGAATTTTTTTCCTACGATAGTTCTGTCGTTTTCCCTATTACCACAATTTTAGCTTCAAACTTCCGGCTCAGAGAAATAAACGGCAACTTCTTTAATTTTTTGGAACTGTCAATGTAAGTAAATGCAAAACACAAATATATTTCTCTTAAGACAAATTTCGTAACTACACTCAAATCAAGTGCTGAGTGAAAGGGACCGTACGAAACTCAGGTGAGGGATCAAATAATACGGTGACCTTATATCCTGAGTCTAGGTAACTACATATGTGGAGTACCGCTGTATGTGGGCTATCTTCAAAGCAGCCGTTTTGATAATCATTGAGATCTTTACACTGAAAAAAGAGTTTATTTAGGTCAACTAAATATGTTTTCATGTGTCGAGAGACATATTTTTAGCTGCCATTTTTCTGAGTGTATTGGAATCCGAGTTATAGCTATGTGGACAATATCTTAGTACAAGTACTTTGGACACACATACACATTTAAATGAGAAATTTAAATTTTAGTTTAGAAATTGATAACTTTTCATTATAATAATAATAATAGATTGGCGCTTAAACATATGTTAGTGTTTGGCCGAGCTTCTTCTCCGATTTGTGGCGTGCGCCTTGATGTTGTACCACGCAAAGCGGAGGGACCTACAGTTTTACGCCGACTCCGAATGGCGATTGTATTTTTATGAGAAGCTGTTTTTCATGGCAGAAACACACTTGGAGGTTTGCCATTGCCTGTCGAGTGGCGACCGCTGTTCCTAAATTTTTTTGCGATGTTGCTTTGACCAGGCTTTGAACCCAGGCCCTACGGTGCGGAAGCTTTTCATTAATATAATTCAAAAGTGCGTTCTAAATATTTGTAGTCACCCTGTATGTGTGCCTGCTTTTTGAGAACTATGCCCATGCTTGCAGAACCGTCTACTACACGTATAAATTCTTTCCGGTCTTCCTAACAACTACAGACATACATATTTACATATGTACATTCATTCTAACAGTAATACCATGTCTGTGATCCCTGTGGCAACGGAAGAAGAAGAGCACTGTTATGCTCAGCGGTGCATACGAGTAGATGAGGTAGGTACTCATAGGAGCAAGTGTGTACTCATACAACTTGCATGAAATTTTGCCTGCAGGGCGTCGAACGTTTAAGTCATTTTGGTGGTAATGAACGGCAGTTGTTGCCGTTGGGTGGGTGGGAAAAGGCGAAAATGGACACAAATAAACAATCTATGAAAGATGAATTTACGTACAAGTAGTACTTACTTACATATGCAAATAAATGTATGAACATTAGGGAGCATCACTCTCCATAAAA